GGTTTATTTTTATGGGGTCATAACACACCTCCATGAAAATATATATGATGTAAAAGGATTACAAAACCAAAACAATGAAAAACACAAGTGAAAAAACATTATGGCAGACATACACACAAAATTATTTGTATGGTAAAAAGGTGGTAAACATGCAAACTTCAAAATATTAGCATAATGCAGTTAGCATTAGCACTACTTCAACTATCTACTGTATAAATATGGCTATTTTGCAATAATGTGTTTCAACATGAATTTGATCATCTGACATCTGACAAATAGAGATTACATTTATCACACAGAAAGTAAAAATATATTGATAGTTATGAGTTTAATGTGGAAAAAAAAATACTGAAGCCTAACAGAAACATTGTCTGTGCTAAAAAAAAAAACAGTGTCCTACAAAAGGCACAGCAGGACCTTGTCTATAGCTTGGAGAAGTACTACTCAGGTTGAGGCCAGGCTAAAAGGTAGGCCCCCCAATAATACTTGTGATATGTGGTGTAAATGTGATATTTAAATTTACTTCAGGAGTACTATGATAAAAAAATATATATTTGTGACATGTCCAGATGTGTTTACATTTTATTCCAAGTTGTTTGCTGGTTATTTGGTAAACTGTTGGGTCCAATATACACATGCTAATATGCTAATATCAGTGACTTAGCAAAGAAGAGTTAGCATTAAGCACCATATACAGTACAATGTTCTATTTGTCTTTTTGGCTGGAAACTAGACACAGGGATTATCTGTGTGACTTTGTGTCTCATGTCTCTGTGAAAACTAATTGAATGTCCTCTATTTGCCAACGTTGGACAACAACATGGAGACTTTCAAGGACCATGTGCGCTAACACTTTAGCAGCAGGAGCGTCACAGTGGAAATGTTTGGTGAGTACAACTGTTGTATAAGGTTTTGGTTTTTTGTTTGTAAATGTGTCCTGTCAGAGAAGAAAAAATACATTTTAAAATTCAAGTTACTTTAAGCTGAATATTATGTAATAGTTAACCCATACTCTTTTATACGTCATGAAGACAGTAAAACTTTATAAAACATATATTAGGGTATCCACTCACACTTGTTATAATTTCAACAGGTAATTCTCTTATCGATTTCTCTTTGTGACGTCATTCTAACTCTACTGACAGATCACTGTTTTAAGTGGTGTGTATATATATAACAGGAACCTGCTTCACTGCTGTTCAGAATCACCTTCAAAACTCGGCTCTCGTTTGTTTTACACTGAATCAACATAGAACATGAAGTTTATAACACAAGGGTTGAGGTGGGTGTGAGGCAACACGGCCGTGATGTGCACTACAGCTCGGCTTTTGAATTTCAGGGCTGCTGCGTCGTCGCTTGTTGTTGTCATAGAAGAAAAGACAGATGATGACTCACAAAACCCGGAACAAAGGATTCCTCTCATCCGTTTCACTTCTGATAAACTAACAAAAAAAAAAAAATCAATCAGTGAAAACACGACTCTGCGATTGCACAAAAACTCTTTTGCATGCACAGGTTTGTTCAAATTATGAAAAGAAAATGTTTTGAATTGTGAACACGTTCAAGAGGAAGTCAAAAACCTCCATGGCAAATGTATTTTATGAAAATGACAAAGCTATTTCTCCACATATTCTCAATTTACAGGAAGTATTAACACTTCTGTGTCTGCCAGAGATTCCTTCCTGCTTGTTTGTCTCATCTAAGGAACAAAATCCTTTAAATATTCTTTGGAACTTAAACCTTTTAGAAACACCAGTAGGACATGTCTTAGTTATTAAAATCAGACACATTAAGAAATAACAAGACATTGCCTAGAACCTTTGGACATTAGTAAAAATATATATACAATTTATGATTCAATTTAATAATAATAATAATAATATTAAACATTTTAATAATTTGAGTGATGTTGAATTCACTTTTGTCCAGTACCTAATGCTCCATATAGAGTCAACGTTGACTGTCAGTGATTTCCATTAGCAGATGACATAACACGGAGGCCTTCCTCTTCATGACACAAAGGACCACTCTTCTTCGGTGGAATTCCTCCCAACAATGACTCCTACTGTTAAACTTGATGATACGTGTGCACCTGAGGGTAGAAAATCAGGTTGGTTTTTTTATGGACCTGGTGGGTGTTAATGGAACCAGTGACTCCAGGTCTCCTTAAAGGTTCTTTTCGAAGTTTTTGTAATTGTAAAATAAATTATTTCATCCAATTAATTAAAAAAGGCATAACATACTGTCTTGAAAATCATGAAAAAAAATGAAAAACATATATATATTGGCTGTCAGTAGGACTGTTAAATCTGGACAAACCATAATCTGACACGGACCTTGGAGCTCTGCCTGAGGATATTAATATTTAAAGTGAAGTCACAGAAAAATAATCCCAGCGTTGCTGACGATAAACGGCCTTGGCAGAAGAGGTTGACACAAAGCTTATGTGGAATATGATGAAGAGTGTGAACACAGCCTTCCTTCTACCAGGTGAAGCTGAACAATGAGTGCCTCCATAAATTAAGTTCAGTTACACTTTCTCACAAAGGCACAACACTGACGGCTCTTACAGTCACAAGCATCACTTTGCCCCAGGGGGTAACATGAGGCCCGGTGGTGACACCTCATTGGCACCATTTTGGAAAAGTCTTGTGAGGTAAAGTGTGTCACAGGAGCTGGTGTGAATGGGACAGATGGTAGGACAGAGGAGAAAACGGAGTCACCGACCTCCACTGTGAGGGTTGTGTCTGCTCACTGGACCACTGTCACACACAGGTGATTGAGTTGAAAGGAGGAAAAGTGTTTTTCACGTTCACTTCTATCTGACTTTAATGAAACACACCCAGTACCCTTTGGACGGCCGGTGTTAATTTTCAACTGCGGAGATAAAATACATTCTTACAGAATGAATGGCGTGAGTCATAACAACAGGACAAAACTTGCGCCCACACACACACGCTCACCCGCTGTCCGTCATCGGACTGTTGCAACCTCTTCACCTTTTCCTGACGGGAGGTGCTGTATCTCGTTCTGAGACTCCAACACACCCTCTGACCTGCCTGTGCAACATCCTATCAGATGCAGATGGTGTCATTTTGAGAGGCAGTCGTCATGGTGAGAGGCAGACCTTTTTTTTTTTTGGATCATGGCACGCCTAAAGGCCTGCCAGGTGGACCTGAAAAACCTGCTGCCTCAGATTATTACTCCTCTCAACCAGGAGCGGAGAGAGAGAGTGGACGAGCGAGTGTGGAGCCTCCTCCTTTGTCTGACCGGCTCTCCTCCTCCTCTCCGTCACATAAACACTGATTCCCATCGACACAACACGCCACACAAACACACAGGAATCTCTGCTTTGTCCCTTTGTTATTGACTGTAAAACGTTTTTGTTTTGTTTTTTTTTTTACCTGAGAATAATTTGAGTGATGTTGAATTCACTTTTGTCCAGTACCTAATGCTCCATATAGAGTCAACGTTGACTGTCAGTGATTTCCATTAGCAGATGACATAACACGGAGGCCTTCCTCTTCATGACACAAAGGACCACTCTTCTTCGGTGGAATTCCTCCCAACAATGACTCCTACTGTTAAACTTGATGATACGTGTGCACCTGAGGGTAGAAAATCAGGTTGGTTTTTTTATGGACCTGGTGGGTGTTAATGGAACCAGTGACTCCAGGTCTCCTTAAAGGTTCTTTTCGAAGTTTTTGTAATTGTAAAATAAATTATTTCATCCAATTAATTAAAAAAGGCATAACATACTGTCTTGAAAATCATGAAAAAAAATGAAAAACATATATATATTGGCTGTCAGTAGGACTGTTAAATCTGGACAAACCATAATCTGACACGGACCTTGGAGCTCTGCCTGAGGATATTAATATTTAAAGTGAAGTCACAGAAAAATAATCCCAGCGTTGCTGACGATAAACGGCCTTGGCAGAAGAGGTTGACACAAAGCTTATGTGGAATATGATGAAGAGTGTGAACACAGCCTTCCTTCTACCAGGTGAAGCTGAACAATGAGTGCCTCCATAAATTAAGTTCAGTTACACTTTCTCACAAAGGCACAACACTGACGGCTCTTACAGTCACAAGCATCACTTTGCCCCAGGGGGTAACATGAGGCCCGGTGGTGACACCTCATTGGCACCATTTTGGAAAAGTCTTGTGAGGTAAAGTGTGTCACAGGAGCTGGTGTGAATGGGACAGATGGTAGGACAGAGGAGAAAACGGAGTCACCGACCTCCACTGTGAGGGTTGTGTCTGCTCACTGGACCACTGTCACACACAGGTGATTGAGTTGAAAGGAGGAAAAGTGTTTTTCACGTTCACTTCTATCTGACTTTAATGAAACACACCCAGTACCCTTTGGACGGCCGGTGTTAATTTTCAACTGCGGAGATAAAATACATTCTTACAGAATGAATGGCGTGAGTCATAACAACAGGACAAAACTTGCGCCCACACACACACGCTCACCCGCTGTCCGTCATCGGACTGTTGCAACCTCTTCACCTTTTCCTGACGGGAGGTGCTGTATCTCGTTCTGAGACTCCAACACACCCTCTGACCTGCCTGTGCAACATCCTATCAGATGCAGATGGTGTCATTTTGAGAGGCAGTCGTCATGGTGAGAGGCAGACCTTTTTTTTTTTTGGATCATGGCACGCCTAAAGGCCTGCCAGGTGGACCTGAAAAACCTGCTGCCTCAGATTATTACTCCTCTCAACCAGGAGCGGAGAGAGAGAGTGGACGAGCGAGTGTGGAGCCTCCTCCTTTGTCTGACCGGCTCTCCTCCTCCTCTCCGTCACATAAACACTGATTCCCATCGACACAACACGCCACACAAACACACAGGAATCTCTGCTTTGTCCCTTTGTTATTGACTGTAAAACGTTTTTTTGTTTTTTTTTTACCTGAAGGACTGACTTTTTTCAGCAACAACAAGGACTCAGCATTCCTCACTCAGAGCTGCTTCCTCACTCTTCTACTCCCCTGTCTCTCCCGCCCCAGACCTGCTGTGACTGTCAGGCCTCCATCGGTGGACTATGCCCCCTTCTTTCAGCTGAGGGAGGGGGCTCTGCGCTGCTCAGGCTCCCATCAGGAGACGGCTTGGGCTGAAATCAAAGAGGAGTGGGTTTGGTAAGTCGCCAAAGATCATTGTTGTTTGACTTTTCACCCCGTGATTCAGTGTTCTCCTCGACTTCAGGTCGGTTTTGGTATTTGTGAGCGTGCTGTTCTTGTGTAGTTTTGTTGTGAGAATGTGAGGAGTTAGTTCCACCAGAGACAACGTAGCGAGACGGCAGGTGAGCGTCAGGCGAATTGTTCAAATTCCACACAGCCTATTGGGTTTATACCAATCCACCGCTGACTCGTGAGCTGGTGGAGTGGCACAGATTTGTGTTGGAGTTGAAAAGATTTTATTTCACTTCCAATCACTGCCCTGTGTCTGTGTAACACGCCGTGACAAGTGAGTTCCTACATTAATCTGCTGCAAAGCTGCCACTGCAGTTTGGAAAAGGCGTTCACCATTGCCTGGTGCTGTATCTATTTTCATTTCTGACTCATATTCTAGACGCGTCTTTTGATCATGTTTTCAGTAAATGCGGTTTTGCAGATCATTGTTGATCAGGACAAGTGTATACGTGACTGTGCGTTCTTCAAAGGAGGTCAAGTTTAATTCTCTAAATTACTCTTTAAGCCTTTAATTGAGTTGGGTGCATTTTGACAAATACTGAGTATTTAGTTCCTAACAACTCCCTTTGTTGAAAAGGAGGATCATTTTTTTTTAAAAAAAAGACATTGTTGAAAAGGAGGATCATTTTTTTTTTAAAAAGACGCTCTTTGATATTCATGTTTACTTCTAGCCAAAAACATAAGAAAAGTTAAACAATGTTGTTGTTAATGGACGCTGAATATATCAACAAGATAAAAATTGGAAAGGAATTTTATGATGGACGCTAATAATTAACACGTGATTGAGTCAGAGAGAACATTGCTTGGCAACACGACAGGTCGTGAGACCAAAGTTTGAACACACTACACATGAGTATACAAGTAGCTAATCTAGCTACAGTTAGCTAGCCTGATGAAGCAGCAAGAAAATAATGATGAGAAGGAACTAATTAGTTATATCATTAGTGTAATGCACATATAACGATGACACTTTCAGAAAATAAGTTAGAAAAGAATTTAAAGTAAGCCCATGTGGGGTTCAAATAGTATTGTCCCAAATGTCCAGTAAAATGTAATTCAATTAATTGATAAAAATATTTTTGGGCGCTTTTGCCCAGAGGCAATGTGCAGCATCATCGTTATTTAATGCAACAGTTTATTGTAATTAAATGTGTTTTAGATAAAAAAAAAATGCATTTGCATTGTTGTTCGTTATCGGTTTGCTGCAGTGAAGGAAACAAAATCTTCTTTCTCTGTCGGCGAATGTTAAAACTTTCTCGTTTCTGTCTGACAAGCATTGTGTGAAAACTATGCACAAACCTGCAGAAGGGTTCACACAGGTCACTGAGTCTCATCAGTTACTGTGCTGTACTTCAAACACTTCACATGTTGAACAAGGATCAGATCGATTAAAATCAATGCTTTGACTTTTCCACTGAACTCAATCTCGTTCTATTTTCGTACCACGTATGAAGATAGAACGACGTTAACGTTGAGTTGAGAATCCATTAATGGTTTTCTTCAATCTTGAATTGTCGCAGCAAACCGTGACTAAAAATCTTATCGTGCTCGGCACTAAAAATAAAAAAACACAAAACAAATTCTAGGGCGTAGGTTAGGGATTCAAATCCAAATTTACACTGCCCTATAATTATGTTTGCAGACACTTTAGAGACAGCACAGCTTGCACTCCACACACAGGCCTGTTCTTTCCACTCCTGTGAGCAGCAAACCCTGCCGTGCCAACACACACACCTTTGTTAAGTACTTTCTTTTTAATCAGCAACTTCATCACTTCCTGTTTCTTGTAAAAGTCAGGTGTCGGTGCTGCTGTCGAATTCCGTCAGTGACTCCATGAGGCTCCTACAGTTAAATCCCTTTTTAATTTGACATGAGGTAAAGTGTGTTTGACTTGAGAGGCGTCTTCATCTGTGCCGCATCTGCTGTCGTCCGCAGGTGGGGTAATCGCTCCACCTGCGTCTAATTAACCTGCTTCAAATTGACTGCTCAAATATTGACACTCTGGGTCGTCACTGGATAAAGGCCGTGCTCTGAATGTGTTTGCAGAAGTGTGCACAGGAGGCCGTGTTGTTTGTAACTGAAAGATAAAAACCTGCAACTTTGTCCTCTTGTAAAAAAAAAAAAAAGAGGAAAGTAAATCGTTCCTCTTCTGTGTGCCCAGACCGTTTGATGATTTGTTTGCTGAAGGTGGGAGATAGGATATTGAATTTGCAGAGTAGGTGGATCGCAGAGGGAAATATTGACATCACAACGCTCAGAAGTTCTTATTTATTGATATGAATTAATGACGTGGCTGTGCAAACGTCTGAGGCTGCCAGTAGGTTTTGCTGTTCTGGCAAATTTAAGTTAATAACATCCAAAAAAATAGATAAAAAAAAATATTTCCAGAAACAAATACCTTCCGTAAAGTCTTGAATTAACTTCAGGCCTGGATGCTGTGCTGAGTGGACTTTTGTTTATGTATTTAAAGAAGTTTAAATGATCCGTCTTTTTCTTCTGAACATGCAGATTCTTCCTCAAAATCAAGTTTTGATCCAACCTTCTGAAATATCACCTCAGTAGAAGTACTCGGATGCTGAGTCGGGTCAATCGTGTTTTTTTATTCCTCCTCTGATTTTGACTTCCCTTGACCACCTTTTGACGTCATCTTTGGTTCTTGACGACGTCACATTAGGATTTACAGCCACGGTTCTTTTGTCGAAACACGTCTTTATCTTCACTATTTGCTCACTTTCATCCACAATCCTCCATGTTCTACAGTGTATTTGACATACGATGATAAACTAAACTCCTTTCTCTGTCTAGAATGATCTACGTACACATGTCAGTTGGTATTATGACTACTATAAGAAGTAGCGCATTCTGCAGCAGTTACACAACTTTGTATTAGCTATGAAAAAATATTTGTAATATTTATATTACATAGCAATGTAACAGTAGAAAAGTATGCACTCAGGAAGTATGCAGCAGGGTACAAAGTAGCAGAATATTTCACCAGCCTCTAATTCAATTAGAATATTACACTAACATATAAACATATTACACTAACTAATCTGTACAAATGTTAGTATTTTCCCAGGTTGAGTCGTCCACTGACAGCAGCTGTCATATTCGTCTCTCAGTGACAACTTTCTCTTCTCATATTGTGACTATAAAGAATGTCACTCGACCGTTTTCTGCACCAATCAGAGCCTAAAGGTCAACGTTGCTTCAGTGTATAGCGATGTTGTGCAAGATTCCAAGCTGAGTCTGAGGAATCCTGATCCTTTGATCGTATTAATGTCAGACAAGAGCACACTAACCGAAACAACCCTTGCTTGAAAATACATTTATTTATTGATTTGTTGTTTATTCCTACAATTGAAGGCAGTTGAAATCACCCTGCAGTCGCACACTTGATCAGATGTTTAACTTTGAAGTCATGTGCTGTGAAGCAGAGTCATGACCTCATGAATTCACTGTGTGATAAGTTGTAAGAGCACAAGGTGTGGTTTAAACGAAGGTAGAGGAGGTGAAGGCGACGTTTAAACGAAGGTAGAGGAGGTGAAGGTTGAGGTGAAGGCGATGCTGATGATAAACCTGAACCATAGTCTCATAACAAGCCCCACGTTAATGTTATCAGGAAAAGATCTGGAGCTGGAGCCGCTCGCTGCAGCTGCACTAACACGCAGTACATCACAGTAAAGTCCAGGAATGTTCTCCAAGCAGTTTCAGTCCAAAGTGTGTAGGCTGTGAATTTGAAAAATGCTTTCACGTATGTCGGTGTTTGGTGGAGATGCCACTGACGCCCCCCCGCAGAGGCGTAGAGAACATGTAGCAGCACTGTGTCGTTGTCACACCAGAGTCAAGAGCAAAACAGAAACTCAAACGCCTCGGCGTCTCAAAGGATTTATCGAGATTCTTAGAAAGTGTGCTGGGCGAACCGGTCCTTCTGATCTGATGTGTGTGTGTGTTTGTGTGAGAGAGAGGGACCGATTTGAGGGATTTGTGGGCAGGAAGTGGCCCCTGGGCCAGGTTTATGGACCACTGCTTTAAACAGCCTAAATGAAATTGTCCAGCTGGGCTTCCATAGTACAAACACGTATACACAAACACGCACAGAGAGCTAACTCAGTGCTAGATTAGACTTTAGCAAATCTGTACATTTCTATTGAAAATGACTAGAAAGGATGAAATAGTGAAATAGAAATAATAGAATGAATTAAAGTTTAAAGAGACAGCACACCACTGCACATGGGAGCAGTGTGAGGGGACAGCAGGCCCAGCACCCAAGTCAGATCCTCAAGCGCTAACCTACAACTGCCCCTAAAGAACATCGCCCGAACAGGGACTTGAACCCTGGACCCTCAGATTAAAAGTCTGATGCTCTACCGACTGAGCTATCCAGGCTCTGCTGATATGATGTACAAAAACTCAAACTGTGAAACTTTATTACGAACTTTTACGATTTTATTGCAGAGGTTTTGTTAGCTGCAAACATGCCACGTCTTGACATATGTCCTGGAGTAACTGTAGTTTCTCCGTGTCGTTGTACAACACACAGAAAATGGCGACCTTTCATGATCTTCTTTAATCTGACCTTGTGAGACCATGCATCAGACATGCACCACTTTTATCTTTACTTTACTCCATGGTGATGTTAATGTCCTCTTCTTGACAGCATGCGAAAATAAACTGGATGAAAACCATTAAACTGCCCCAAGATTGAAAATCAGGAAATCCACAGACAACAGCTGTGTGGGTCATTTAAGGCAGACTTTAAGGCAAGTGTACATTTAAACGAAGACACTTCACTGATCAACATATCACAGCACATCATTGTCAACATCAGCAGAATACTGTGAAGTACTGTATTTCCTCTGCCCGTTTCCAAAACAGTAGCGTTACCATCCCGGCACCGATGATGACTTTGCCGTTTATCATCGAGCTGTCACCTCTGCAAACAGCACCACCTGATGTATTTCATTGTTAACGTCTGTGGTTAATGGCCTGTGAACGCTACACGATTCTGGTGGCACAATATTTGCCGTTGAGCAGGAAGCAGGATAAGACTGGCTGCACTGTAGAAATGAGTGACCCATGAACTGAGACTCTGACTGTCTCTGTTTTCATCACCTCCAGGTGAAAAAAAAAAAGTGTCACTTTTTCAGGGTATGTTTTCAACAGATGGTAGGCTCCACGTTAACGCTCCATCAGTAGTTAAAAGACAAAGACACTGATGAGGATTTTTCAAATCAAATGTGTGATTTCATTTCATAAATTAGAATAACTTAATTACCCTGAAGTCATGTTGCATGGGAGTGAAGTTTGTTTCACGGTAATTAACCTGGTGATGGATCCTGTTTGGCCAGGAAATTGGTGAATGGAAACTAAAGCAAAGTATTCAGGTCACATATTTTACCACCTCTTGTATTTGCATGAGTCTGCTCACACTGATGACAGTATAGTCTGGTTGCATTTTAAACACAGGCCATCAAGATACTGAAGCAGACATCCAGTTATTAAAGTGAAACAGGAAGTGGACCATGAACAGCTCTGCTGGAGGCAGAGTTTGAATGATGTCAGTTCTTTGAATTATGAGCTTTAGGTGGATACGGAACCTACAGTATGAGTGGACGCTGTGATTTACAGCTGATAGAAGGTCCAATAGAAGCCTGTTTGTTTTGTATTACACTGGAAACATCCATTTCCTATGTACATTTTATGACAGGTGAGTTCAAAGCGAGGCTGTTGGTCCAGTCACGGCCCGTAACGAAGGTTAATATGACCCAATTGTGAAATTCTTGCTCCTCTCGGATGTTTTTTAAGGCATTAGTTTGCAGTATAATAACATTTACTAACTTGTATCTGTTCCTCAGCTAACACTGAGCTGTCTCTCTGGCTAGATTTGAAGTTTTTAGTGTTAAATAAAAAAAAAACGTTATCAACACATTTGCTATTTTTGGCAATTTAGTAGTGTATTTTTACTATCTTTTGGATTTTATTATCTGTACTGGGGCTTATATTTTTTTTAATTATTATTATAGAAAAAATAAAAACAAATAAAAGATATAGATAACAATGGCACAAACATAGTTTCCTCTTTTTTTTTATGTTTTTAGATTTTTTTTTAGGTGTATTACGGTTATGCAAACTAGGCTGATAATTCCTCAGTGTTTTCACAGCAATTACATGCAGTGACTGGAATTCCCAGATGACACGATGATGGAACTGTTTCAGCCGGAGAAGTGTTTCAGGCCACATCAGTAGACAGTCGGTTCACGGTGACAGTGTGAGGCCAGAGCAGATCGACAGCCTGACTGATGACCTACACCTGTGTGAACAGTCACTGTGGCCTGACCTCACAAAGTCTCTGTCATTACAGACCAGTCAGAGAGACGTGAAGGGACTCTGGACGATGTTCCATATTCACGATATTAATATTGAAACCTGTTCAAATATATTTTACACTGAAGTTTGCATTGTTTTGTTCAATGCACAGAAAAGTCATCATTCCCCAAAATGATCGCTTTTAAATATCAGGGGTGTCAATCAGGGGTGTGTAACTCATCTAGATATATCAAAATCGGGGGGGGGGCATATCAGCAATACAGTCCCCCTTAAAGTGCTGGTTGTAACTGGGTGATTTTATAGATACAACTACAAATACAATAGATGTGTTAATAAATGTTTCTGCCATTGACTATAATGTATTCAAGTTAGAACTATAGTACATTATTCTGTGTACTAAAAACACACTTTTATCAGTTTAAGAAACTCAGCAACATGGACATTATCATAAGGCAAATTCTTTTTAAGCTAATGAGGGTCACGCAAAATGACTGGGTGGGCCATATTTAAGCCACGGGCCTTGAGTTTGACACATGCTTCAAATCCTCTTCAGCCATTTACTGGCGTCTATTTTGTTGTTTTTAGTTGACATCTGTAAATATTTGAATATCCTGTATTAGGGCCAATATTTTGAGGATTATTCACGATTAATCTAGATATATCAAAACCCTAAAATTGACACATACTTTCTGTATATACTTCCTGTATATGACTGGAAAATTGACACATACTTTCTGTATATACAGTACTTCCTGTATTGTCATATTGTCATATTCCTGTATATGGAAACAGAAAGAGTAATAACAGAAGGTAGATGTGTGTGTTTCACACCGTGTGGTGCCAGACTCTGCAAACTTTCACCGTTTTACGCACATGGAATCATTCATTCCTAGACCCATAATCAAGTGAGGTTGGAACTATTAGAAATATCTCTAATAGTATGTTATCATACTCATAGGTTTACCTTTACCTCACTATTAAAATAATCATAATGATGAGCGTCAGGTTGGTTGTTTTTTTTTATTAATTACAACCGTTCCAGTGTGTCATTTGTTGTACGTCACGTCGTGTGAGAAGAGAGTCAGTACCACCCATGCTGATGTTTGTTGGGAACAAACATTACATGTGTACTCCAATTTGCAAAACAATTGCAGGTTTCAGTGTGTTGTTGATGTGAGTTCCCATCCTGGTCCTGGACACGCAATGTCACATCATCCCAGCTCAGGGGAAGTATCGGTTACAGGGACAGCCCTGACCTACAGCTCTGAGTGTGGATCGTTTCCTTAACTGTATCACGGAGTCACGGCGGAGACAAAGGAACTCCACATGACTCTGAAACACTCTGGATTAGATGGAGATCAAGATTACAGCATCGGAGAACACAGCAGCTATTGTTAATGATGGAAAAGTGTATACCATATTATTTATTCAAGAAAAAAAAGAGGAGACATTATGACTGTCTTTAGAGCAGCCGAGTTTATTATTATTAATATTATTATTATTGTTGTTGATAATAATAATAATAATAATGTATTTAGTGTTTTGCCAAAAAGTAGCTATTATACAATTATTTTTATATTATTTCAACACTATATGTATTAAATACTCGTCTTAAAAATTGCTGAATAATAGGTATAAATACTTCTTTATTTATTATTATTTTATTTGATCTTTATTGATTCCATATTTCGGACTTTTTTTGTGTTAACAGCAGCTCTTCTGCAACAGACTGCCCCCTGCAGGCGCCACGTATTGGTGGTTCCTCTGGGAATCGAACCCAGGACTCCCTGCTCTCTGTTTCTGAGGCAGGCATGCTAACGACTACACGATAACACTATGGAACCATCTGAGGCAGGCATGCTAACGACTACACTATGGAACCGACAAATTGTAGGCCCTTTGATGGACGTCTGACTGACCGTCCATCCTCAGGGTCGTTCTCTTACATTGTTCTGTCACGTTCATATTGACCGATCAAAGTACATATAGACATCACGCGTTTTTCGAATGCCATGAAATCATTATGTTCTCTCCAAAAGAAAAACTGTAAAACTCTGTCTTTGAACCAGCGACTCAAACCTGTCATCACCTCGTACAGAGAGTACAGTGTGAGCCCTGGAAAATGGGTTAATGACAGCTGTAATTTGGCTCCAACGTCAGGTGTTAGAATCAGTGCTGATTATACTTCATACATAGCGTTCTGATGATGAGCCTCATTCTTTTGGTGGCAGTAAAAATCAAGGGGCCGGGGGGGTGGTTTTCTACATCTGTTATTTTGAAATATGAAAATGTCATACCGTTACTTCTGTCTCTGTGGTTGCAGGCTGGTACTGCTGAAGATGCAAACTTCATCCGCCTCACCACTGACCATCACTACAGCACCTCCCAACACAACCGCCGTCACCAAGTCCAGAGAACAAATTCTCATTCAGAGTAAGCATATTACCCATCATGCCTCTGTTTTTCGTCATGCCCTGCTTGTCTCCTCGAATAACATATTAATAATGTACACCCATGAGAATCGGCTGTTATTATTGTGTTGAGTCAAGCCGTATAATTAACGTCCGACTGCATCACGGAGTGTCTTAAGGGAGTGGCACCCATGTATTTACAAGAACATTAAACATAATTGATTGTTCCGTTTGCATGCAGTTTCTATGTACACTGCTTGTGCCTGACAAACAAAAACAAGCAGGAGTAGACAGAGCTCAGTGGACACGTACAGTACAGTACACTGCAAATACTAGGCTGAAAAACAAGGTTTGAAGACATTCTTGTCCCCCCCCTCCCCCTTCCTCTGTGATTCTTAGGTTCCGGGGCTATGATTGCCGTCATCGTCATAGGTATCATCATCATTCTCTCCATTCTACTCATCATCCTGAAGACATACAACAGGTAACGCTGCATTCCTGACTGACTGCTCAATTCCTGCAGCCTGAACTCTACAACTGTGCTGCCATTTTTAGACACTCAGAGGACAAATAAAGATCTGCTGTTCCTTTTCTTTGTCGTATTTTAAGCGGGCTGACTTTGTAAACTTTTGTACACAAACAATTGCATTCCTCCCGCGCCAGTGACACAGAAAAATCACAGTGAGCTGCAGAGCTTTGAACGCTTTGAAAGTGCCGCTCTGCCACATCCAGTGTTGGTCTGGTTCTACCAGGTTCAGAAGTAGAGCAGAACATGTATCACCTCTGTTGAAGAACACAGAGGAGCTGAATGAGAGGTGAAATGCCCTCAAGAGAGAAAATGCCAGTGGAGTGTAGAAAGGCAGCATTGATTGGTGGTTTGTAGATTAGTTCAAACCAAGGAGGAAGTTTCCCATGAGGTAAAGGAAAAGTCACATTTCTAGACTAGAAACTACAACTAATATGATTGGAGAAAATGGAAGAAGGTCTGTTGTGATTTATCAGGATATCAATTAGACAAGAATATATATAATATATGATAAAAAAAAAATTATACAGGACATGAGTTCAAGTGAGGGATCGGGATTCCTCAGGGATCAGTTCTGAGACCCCTTTTTTCCCATAGTGATGTTCAAGTTTACAGTTCCAGTCAGGCAGAAAACACAAATAATTGATGTGGTGACAATTGAGAGGAGAAAGTGAGAGGGATGAAATAAGTAAAAAATAATTGATGAAAGATGTGAGGAGTTGGCACCGTGAAGATGATTAGATGTTCTACCTGCATGCAACATGCACAGGACTAGAGCAGAACAGAGCAGATGATCTGTGCATTTAGTTAAATGTACAGTATGTATGGTTTGACCTCTTTTTTTTTTAATACGTTGCCTTTGTTGCCAGGTGTACACATACATCTCGACTCCTGGGCTCCAACAGTGGCTCCAAGCAACGTGCAAAAGTGTCCCAGGCCACGGGGCAGAGCAGTTTGCCCCTGAGCACCATGGGACCCATCTCTGTGTCAGGGAGCATCAATCCCTCATTCCCTGCCTCAGAGAACGGCTTCGTGCTGCCCAGGGCGGAGCTGAACAGCATTGAGGGAAACCACTTAGAGCAGTTCAGCACCATGAGTGACTCCACTGAGGTCACCATACATGACGCTCCATCACTGGGAGACACATAGCAGCAGGACTGTGGTTGAGTCTCACAACGGCCGTTGACTGACGTGTGGTCTTCACCCTGGGACTGACTGAATCGTGTAGAAGTTCAATCTGTGACATGAGTGTTTGTGCTGTCAGTGACTGAGCCGCCGATGAGTGACCAATGCATGTCGTTCAATGTGACAACAATCACAAAACGAACAAAACAGTTCCAAAACAAACACAGTGGAGCGTGTGAAGGACTTGAAGGAGAGAGTTGCTTTTTGGCTACAGTCAGTGTTCAAAGAAAATATGCCATTAAGTTACTTGTTATCACTTTGTTTTGTTAATGCTTTGGCAAAATGAAAAAAACAACAAAAACAAATGTGCAGTGACAGAGTTGGTCATAAGTTTGTACATTTCTGTGTTAAGAAGAAGGTTAATAAGTTAATGTAGAATAACAGTACCATAGAAAATGACCAAATAAAGACAGAACACTAGTAGTACAATACAGGGCATTAGTTTGTTTTTGCAGAATAACTGTTCTCATTTTTGTTACTCGATTTGGTTTTTTTAAATTTTTTTATTTTATTAGTTTGTTAGTTTGTTTTTGCAGAATAACTGTTCTCATTTTTGTTTTGTTTTGATTTTATTAAAACATACTTAAAATATTGTCTCTTATAATGATTGTGTACCACAGAGAGTGAAAAGCCCATAGAAGAACTTCTGGATTTCAGCAAAACAACAACTTTTTTGATTTGACGCCAAAATATTTTGCACTTTATTATCTTTCTGTATTTGTATTGTCTGTGGCTCTTTTATTTTAAATGAATATAGATTGAAATAAATTTTAATGTTTCTACCTTTCATCGGCTTGCTTGTAATGTGTGAATGAATCAGATCAGCAATATTTCTTTAACTCAACCATAATAGAAGGTACAGATGAGCATTTCCAGGTAAATCCATTTCTGAAGACAAATAAAAAGAAAGAAATAGCGATACGTTGTATATTGTGCTTTAAAAAATAGATTATGCTGAATTTGAAAATTAATTTTATATAAAAAAAGAAAGAAAAGAACAAAGAAAATGAAAATAAACATTTTATGTCGCCCTCTGCTGGTACGTGCTTGTTACTGTATGACGTAAAAGCATTGCCAAGCTGCATTCCAGATAGGAAGTGTTGCAAAACTGTCGGTGCTGAAATAAAACAAATAAATGCGTGATTTCATGTTATAGTTGATATTGTTAATACGTATAGTATAAAATGTCATTAAAATTTATAGGACAATACATTTTCTGGCGAAGAATTTGAGAAGTGGGCGTAATTCGTCGTGAGAGCGTTTAGAATTGCTAACAAAAAACAACGTTGCAGTCTTAGATGCTCCTCGGTGTGTCCAACGATGGTGACCGTAGGTGAGTGCAAAACGGACAACTTCAATACGTCATTCAATAAGTAGTAAGCCGTTTAGCTACAATCGCATGTGGTTGTCGTTTATAGTTTAAAAAAGGCAAATAATTGTTTTTGCAAATAACATACTTCGGCTAACTTAAGCTAACGTCAGTAAGCTAAAATCCCAAGAGATTTTTTTAAAATCAAGACTAGTTTAACCGTTAAGGCTGTTTAATTTATTGTCTTTTGCAGTATACATTAAGTCATTAGATGTGGAGAATAACACTATTTGACCGAGTGTAAATAAAGTGTACGGCAAACCCGGAAGTTAGTAAGTTTAGTAGAAGCATTTGCAAAAGAGCGAATTTTATTTAATGTATTATTTCATTACAACCTCTCCCGCTGATTTGCAAAAGAGCGAATTTTATTTAATTTCAACCTCTCCCGCTACGTTCGTTGTCTCAAACATAAGTGGCAATGCTGCTCTTTTGCTCTATAGAATTTAAAAATACTAAAAAAACGTACTTGTTTATTGGAAAATAAAGACAATTATTTAGAAATTTCTGTGACCGACGTAGCTCTATCAACAACGCACACCTAAGTTTACTAAATAAACTTTGTGTTCACGGAGAAAATAAATGAGTGCAGTTAATAAGTCAATGCCTCCTTTTGTGAAATTAAATGTTGCATGAAATAATAAATAATTTATATATAATTTCACTAAAACAGGTACTTACAGTCAGTGCTAGCTTCGATAGCTATATTTCATCCAGTCTGCAAAAAGCTGCAAAAAAAAAGAAGCCTGAATTTATTTTAATGTAAAATATAGGGAATATGAAAGAGAAAGTTCCAGTCGTTCGGGTCAGTTCTGATGTCTGATTCAGGCCTGTTTGTTGTTAAAATGTTTAATTATTTTGGATCAGCTTGACAGAAATGTTTCTGAAAAAAAAAAAAACTTTTTTCAAGTCTGACATTTTTTTTTAATCACATGATCTGACAAAAACTTTTTTCAAGTCTGACATTTTTTAATCACATGATCTGACTCCAGTCGACCTGCTGAGTCTCCTGCTGGTGTCAGTGTTGTGGGGTTGCACCAACCCCTTCCTCAGAAGAGGCACAGAGGGAATAGAAAACGTGACTAAGACCAACAAAGTGGCACAGCTTCTCGCTGAGGTCAAGTTTCTCTTCCTGAACATCAAGGTAATAAATGGAATCCTTGTTCTTGGTTATTACACACATGAAACCACTGCTCGGTCTAATCACACACACCTAATTTCTTTCAGTATTTGGTTCCATTTCTCTTGAACCAGAGCGGCTCTCTGGTTTACTATTACACCCTTTCCACCACAGGTGAGGGAACCTCTCCAAGTCCCACTTCATCACTGTCCACCTCACTTATTGGTCTTATTTCACAGCAGACATGTTGACATGGCACAGCAAAAGAAAAGCCCAGGTGTAAATAACAAATTTAACTACTGGGACTCTACGAGCAGAGGACAGAGCCATTGTTAATGTTATTAGAATCTCCTGGGCCTTTACTAGTGTGACAAGTCAGCATGTCTGCTGTGAAATAGAGCTGACACTAAATTAAAGACATAGGATTCAAAAGAGTATTGAAATACAAAAGCATGAATAATTCATTACATTTAGCATCAATGTCACTCAATTGTTTTGAATGTGTTTGAAAAGAAACCATCAGTGTATTTATCATGTTCATGAGGTTTCTTTGTTTTTAATATGTATATATATTTATAGTAAATAATCTTTTCTTGTCTTTTTTTTTTTACCCCAGAGTTGTCATTTGTTGTTCCTGTGGCCAACTCTCTCACATTCCTCTGCACTCTGCTCACTGGGAAAATTCTGGGGGAAGAGTTTGGAGGCAAACGTAAGTCTGAAGTGATGATGAAAATGAAGAAATAATTTATTTTTACCTACTTTACTAAAGAGCTAAGTTCCCCTTTTGAGAAATAACAGACAGTGGTGTTTTTGGTGAAGAGTTTCTCAACTTGCAGGCAACTTGTTCAGTCCTTTCTTCATAAATCTTTCAAACACCTCCATATTTAATGGAATTCTTACGAGAACCCTGGTCTAGACCCTAGATTTTTTTTATCTGTCTTTATACATTTGCCCTTGTGGAATTTTTTTTAAGGATAAGAAAACACTAATTTCCTAGATTTATTTAAACACCTCAGTTTCATTGCAATCCTACTTCTTTGCATCAGTGTGGGGAAGGTGTTCTTTGTGCGCCCTCAGTTTCATTGCAATCCTACTTCTTGGCATCAGTGTGGGGAAGGTGTTCCTCTAAATGTACAAGCAACATCTCTATGATGGAACTTATCCAGTCAGTCTATATGATGTCCACCTGGACAGGGTTTTTATTAACTAAAATCTTCTGTCATATCTTTCCTCACACTCCTGACCATCTACAGGAGCGGTGGCAGGGATGTTTCTCACCATGGCTGGGGTCACTCTGTGTGTAATTAGCTCCATCTCTGACAACGACAGCGACAACCAGAGTCTGACCCGGCCCGTGTCCTGACAGACAGTCTGCAATCCATGATGAGCCGGAGAAGGCCTGGAGGAGGCGATTGAGATTCAGGGAATGTTCCCTTTCAGACAAACTGTTCTGCTGAATTTTACCCAGATGAACTCAAAGTGAGCTTAAAGAAGTCCTGGTCAGAAGCTGTTAACACCGAGATGACAGGAGAACGGGTTCAAGCAGAGTTCACCTCACAGCTACATTTAGATTTATGGCGCTCACATTGGAGCTGGTGGTTGTTAACTTTTACTTTTCAGCACCCCACTGACCTGCCCTGGGACTGGCATCTGCATGAGAAGATGGGAACCACCTCCAAACAGGCTGGGCTGTAAAAAAGGACCAAATAGAAATCTGGCCCTGGGTCTACAGGGGCTTTTGTCTACTTTATGTGTCTCTAAACACAGATAAATAGCTGTGTAGCTGGTGGACAATTCAGTACTTGATACTTTTTTGTAACAAACAAAACCAAAACTCCTTGCTCTTTGAATATTTGACAAATTGCACCACATTTAAATAAATGAGACAAATGGTGACACACAGTTTTTATTTTTATTGTCACGTTATTTTAACATCAGCACTGTTCAGATGACATTGTTATTGTTGCATCTATCCAGCTTGTCATATAAATGGTATTTAACAATAAACTGTTGGCAAAACACAGTTTTCCTGTCGCAATGATACATTTTTAAAAAATTACTACACAGCTAGGGTATGTGTAAAAATGCTGTTTCTTATTTATCTATTGCAAATGGAATAAACGACAGAACATCAACTGAATGTCTCCATCAGATTAACCTGATTAACAAGTGAACACAACATCGTACCTTAAGGTAACAAACAAATCCAGTGCTGTTTTTTTGTTGTTGTTTTTTTACCTCTAGTGCAAGCATTTCGCTGAGTATTTAACACATCAATAGTATTTTCTTAAAATGGTGACCATTGAACTCTACAACAAAATTAGCTACTTATTGTGTAATTGCTAATTGTTAACATAAAGTTCTGTTTTGGTTCACAGTCAGCTGTACTCCAATAAAGCTAATGGTACGCCTAAGTATAATGAGAAAATGGTCTATCTTTAAAAACCAAGATGGCTGCTCACTGCATTAAGTTTATTAAAAGCTCAGATTTTTCTGTTTTTTAATCCATGATGTTGGGTTGTTTTTTTTTTTTTAATTTCTTTGAGCAGTCACGGCTGAACTAACACAGCTTTGTTATAGTGTTTGTTTGGTTTTTTTTAGCTCTAATTTGATTTGTTGGTTGTACACGAAAATAGCTGATGTACGTAAACTACAAACATCATGGAGTCGTCCATCTTGTTTCTCGACTCAAATTTCAAATCCAAGATGGCTGCTCATTATATTAATCATAGAAGGACCTCACACTTAGCTTGTAGCTGGCTGTACCCTGAAAGAGCCTGAGCAGCAGGAAACTTTCTGGAAAGAAGACATCTTGTTTTTCAACCTTGGCAACTGGAACACATTTGATGGATTTGATGCGATTTCCTGTGAGTAGTGGCCAATTTTAGACACAAGTTGCCAAATTTTGTTAACATGCTAATGTTGGCATTAACTACCTCACTTCACCATCTTGTTTTTCAACAGTGGCAACTATACTGCATATGGAGGGAATACATGCAATTTATCTGTGAGTAGTTGCCAAATTGAAACACAGGTGGATGTCATTATACTACTAAATTCTTGCTAACATTAGCATTTACTCACACTGGTAAACACTTTTTTCGTGTTTGATGTCTCCTTCAGTCTACTTCAGTCTTACTTTCCATATTATAATATTGTGTTTATGTTTGTTTACTCTTAAATAAACAACATTGTTGCTACTTGGCTCATTATCACAGTTTCAACATTCTACATGTAACATTTCATATTTTTGCGGTTCAAGCTGAATTTGTACTCTGTGCTTTTCAATGTGTCCCAACTCCACCGTAAACCTTCCAGATGTTTCCGTTATTCACGATGGTTCTCTTCTGCTGTTTGTGGCATGAAATCCTGTCGGTTCTCCTGTTAAAACAAGCAGTCACTTTTATTCTTCTTGTCAGGGTGACATCACAACAATTGAAGTCACTGACGTGTGATGTCAGACAGATACCTTTTCTTCACCACTCTCTACCTGAGAGGCGGACAGTAGAAGTCTTGGAGATGTTTGCTTCAGCTTACGTTCCTTTTGGAAAACAAAATTATAGCAGTTTTTTTGATTGTTTGATTTTTATATACAGTACAGTTAAAAAACAGTGTTTACCTGTATGTCAGCACTCGACTTTTCTGTTCTGGATTCTATCTCCTCCATTTCATTTTGTCTAGTTGACTCTGGCTTTAAGACAGTAGACAGTACAGTGTATGTCAGTTAGACCACATTATCATGACCATTATCATTAGGACCCATTTGGGTTAGGGTTACTAAAAGTAGGCCATTCTGTCTTTTATAGCATCATACTGGTTTGGTTAGTGGTTTTGTTAGCATCATACTGGTTTGGTTAGTGGTTAAGGTTAGTGGTTTTGGATTTGTATTTCTTTAGAGGAATATCAGAGAAAGATGACACAAGGTCAAACATTTCTCAGATTTTCATCTTCAGAATTTTACTTTATTTGTAACAATGTCCGATATTTAACATTTTGCCGATATCTGATAATAATATTATTGGACATCATTACAAATTTTAACAGAATTGTAAAAAAAAACTGCTACCCTTCATAAATAAAGATTTATTTTTTTAAATCAGATTAAATTATTCCCATGTTGTAACACAAACAAAACCTCCAGTTAATCTAACCCATGCATGAGTGAACTAAGGCCCGGGGCCTGGATGCGACCCATAGAGTTTTTAAATCTGGCCCACCAAACTTTTCCAAATTATATAATTTATTTATATTATCATTATACTTCTGCCTATTCCCTGCAATACCCATGTTTCCCCAATAGAAGGTGTAGAAAATAATAAAAGCATTTTAGCATGTTAGCCTTTATGCATGACTTTTACATGTCATTACCCCGCCCACCTTCTCCCTGCCCCGGCCCCCCCCCCCCCCCCCCCCCCGTTCAATTTCGTGGCCCGCGAGTCAAAAAGTTTTTCCAACACCTGATCTAACCATACCTGCTCCGTGCTGTGCAGAGCGTTGTTTATGTTGTTGACTTCTTCAGTCTCCACTGTTTCTGCTGCTCTCTTGAAAAATAAAATAAATGGTACAGCTTCAGATTAGGCAGGTTGTTTCTATTTGACTTCAACACTGGACTACCAGGTCAGCGGTGACTGTTGAGTTTACCTGGTCAACAGGAATCTCTACAGCTGTGTTTTCATCCTCCTGCACCTCCTCAGCTCCTCGTACCTCCTCCCTCCTTCTCCGTCCAGCTCTTTTAAATACACTGGGTTTGACTGTAACGAACAGACATTTTAATCTATATTCTCACGCACATGTAACCGAGCATGGATACCTTTAGATTAAATACTGCTCTTCACCAGATCCATTAGTGAGCGTCAGTCTCGCCTGCCCTCTGTTTTTGCGAACTTTGACCGGTCTGGCAAAAAACACAGAAGGGTCTTCTACCGCCTGTGTCCTGGCCCCCTGCTGTGCAGCTTGAGGCGATGCAGCTTCATCTCCTGTCGACCTTATCCTGCGGCCGTCTGACTGAGGATTGCATGAATTCAATTAAAAATCTACTTAATGGTGCATTGATTAGAAGTCCAAATATAGCTGCAGTATTGTGGCGATAACAATAAGGAAGCTTTTCCGTCTTACGTCTGGGGAGTCGAGGAGAGCTGAGTCACTGTACTGATCTGCAGGACCACTCCCAGCTTTTCTGTTCTGGGAGAAAAATACACAATAATCAGCGGATGGCCATAATTTTCTGTTTCTGTCTGCTGTCATTTACGTCAACGGAAAAGTCAAAAATATACACGGGAGCAGTTATTGATGTGTGGATTCTAAATTGTTGAGGTAGAACGGAGATCGTTACCAACCTCAGTCAACCTCAGACATGTTTATGTTTGCTTTTGGCTAGCATTTTATGTTAGCCAGAAGCAAACATAAAATGCTAAAATATATTACTAGAAGTCATGCAAAAAATAGTTCAGTAAATAAGCAAAGTAAACATTTAACTTGAAAAAAACTTAGATAACATTGATAAGTTAAAAAATATACCAACATATAAATGTGATATACAATCAGTGAATCAGTAGTTTTAGGTTGTGTTTACCTGAGTTCGTCTCAACAGTCTTCTCTTTCCTGGGTAATATCTACAGCATCAAGAACAAAAAACAACATATTGTTCGATATGTGATGAAAGTGACAGACATTGTCAGCCAGTCTGTCCATCGTCCATCTGTCCGTCCATCCGACTGTCCATCTGTCTAACAGTCGCTGTTGTCCAGTCTAGAGCCGCAGTACAGACGTACACAGACCATATACTGTATGACGATACCTCTCTGCTGCTTTTGAGACCCACAGCTCCACATATGGAAGTTTCTTGAACTTCTCAGTTCCCACAGCAACGTAGCAATGGCCGGTCTCCAGGTCCTCAGCCGAGGACAATGTCAGTCCTTCCAGAGAACAGAGCCTGGGGCAGCATGACACAGAGATTTTAGTGGACTTCTCTGACGCTTAGTTTCTATTTTTAATTTTCTTAATTTTTTAAAAATACTATTATTTTGGGGTCAATTTGTCCTCGTGGGGACACATGTAGGGTTATTTTGCAGGTCCCCACTCAAGTTCAGAATGTTATGGAGTGAGGATGAGGACTTGGTGAGATTACAGTAAAAACATGTATGTGTAATAATCATGTCACAGTCAGAGTCACAGACCTGCGCACGGCTCCCGTTCTTAGACAGACCTTCTCGGTGACCATACTCAGAATCTGCTCCAGATCATGTTGCATGCTCCGAGGAACGATGAATCGGAACGGTGGACAGAGCAGATCTCCGTTACGGAAAACACTGAGCAAAAGGATAAAGAAACATGTATTTTAAAGATGTCCAATGGAAGTGTATTTGTCTGTCTGTCTGTCTGTCTGTCTATCCATCCATCTAAATCAACGTTGATCCTCTTATCTTGTGTGAAGGACAGTTTTGTGTAATCGTGTGTGTGTGTGTGTGCGATGGTCAAACTACTCACTGGATAATGCAGGGCACGGGTATAAACCTCCTCCATTTGGCTGAAACATGTGGCCTCTGGATGACTTTGGCCTAGTGGAGACGGTCAGAGAATCAGAAGCACAGATTAACGCCGTCACTTTGTCCTCCCCTCAGTCTTATTGGACATTTCCTGTCATCATTTGTGACATCGATGTCCTGCAAATCCATTTCGCCGCAGCAAGAATCACTCATGTATATATTTAATATCCGACTGACTATTTCTAACCCCGCACAATGTCACCGCTTTTTCAAAGCCGCTCCAACACGTCACGTCTGATCTGCAGCCCTGCAGTGAAAAGAGCCAGCTGTCATCTCAGGGCTGTAACTGATGTTTGTCAGACCACACTTGTCAATCACAGGTTCACCTAACACTGTATCAATCTGCCCCCTCACTGAGAAGGTCCATGATATGAGCCAAGTCCAGGGAAAAGAGAGTGTGGTGTCAGTGGGGACTGCTAAAGTCTGTGGATGCCAGAACAGACAGAATGATCTGGATTCTGTGACAGAATTTCTTTGTCATCAGTCACAGAGCAAATTCGTCATAAAGCGAGAGAGAGCAAAAGGTCATGGGTTTGATTCCCAGAGAAACCACATATCCCTAATGGCACCTCCCATGTGGCAGCCTGTGAGTTAGAACCATATACTAAATGGCGCCTCCTGTGGCGGCTGTGTTGGTTGAGCACCCTGAAAAAAGTGTGCTCAAAAGTTTTTTTTTAGTTTATTTGAGTGTCAAACTTTATATTTTCAGATAAAGGACCAGGGGGAGGGAACGTGGGGCAGAGGACAAATAACCTAACAAATCTGTGCTGCGTTTGAAGTCGTCATAGTGTTCTATTTTGTCTTCGTCTGTCAGTCTTCGTCTTTGTTCCTCTTTATCTTTGTTGTCTGTCTGAGCCCAAGACGAGATAAAAAGTAGAGTTCACATTCATCTTTTTCACTCGTTCTCATTCCCTCCGACACGACTGATGTCGAACAACATTAAAATAAAATTTTGTAAATGTTGCGTGATGCGACAGCTTGGAAAGGTCAGCGTTTGATGGACAGTACAATTATTAGCTCATGACTCACATTCATTTACATGTGCTCCCCTGACAACACTGTACAGGCGAATGGAAACCATGAAGCAACGCAACACAGCCAAACTAAATCCTCAGGAGCGTCACAGTTAAATGCAAATATGGAGAAATATTCATTCAGTTTCATCTATGACTCTGCAGTGTCTTATTGAATC